TTGCAATTTGGTTCTATTTTGATGTAGGATAAGGACATGAGCTGAGCAACCCCAAACTTTCAAGTGTTCAAGGGAGGGAGTACGACCTGTGAACATTTCGTGAGGAGTAAGTGGTGCAGTTTTTTTGGGAATCCGGTTAAGGATGTAACAAGCCGTTAATACGGCTTCTCCCCAAAACTCCAATGAGAGATTTGCATGCCCCATCATACTCATTACCATTTCCACTAAGGTCATATTCTTTCTCGCAACTACACCATTTTGTTCAGGAGTATAAGGCATGGTGTACTGATGGATGATCTCATTTTCAATGCACAATTCTTTGAAAATGTCAAATGAATATTCCCCCCCTCTATCGGTTCTAAGGACTTTAATTTTCAAGTTAATTTGATTCTCTACCTAGGCCTTATATTCTTTGAATTTTCTAAGGCTTCTGATTTTACATGAATAAGGTACACATTTTCATATTGCGAGTGGTCATCTATAAAAGAGATAAAATATATTTTTCTACTTTTTTGGTCACATTCATAGGTCCACATATGTCACTATGAATGATTTCCAATCCGCTAGTAGCTCTTTTTGTCCTAGGAGTATTTTTCTTTATTAGTTTTCCTTGCACACAAGACTCGCACACTTTCGATAAATCTCCTTTATAATTTTGAAGAATCCTATCCCTTTTTAATCTTTCCATTCGTTTGATATTGAAGTGTCCTAACCTCATATGTCATAGGGTAGCATCTAATTCATTAGGGGACGAGACATAAGCAACGTTCTCTTTTATTTTAATAGTAAATAGCCCGTCTACAAGTCATCAAGTCATGATCACATCTCTCCCCTTCTTGACCACCACTTTCTCCCCAATGAAAGTGGTTATGAATTCAGCCATAGACATCTTAGGAACCGAAACCAAGCACTTCCTCATATCAGGAGCATAAAGTGCTTGCTTTAGGATCAAGGTGCTCTCACTCTTCAGTTTCAGCTCAAAATCTCCAACTCCAAGTACATCAGTCTTCTGATTTCCTCCCACTTCAATATGTTGTTGTCCTAGCCCCATGGGAGTGAAAAAACGGTAACCTCCCTTGGTGTTTGTAACATGGGTCGTAACCCCCGAGTCAAGACACCAAGAAGCTCCCTTGGGGTCAGCTAGCATGGACTCGAAAACTACACATGTCAATTCCTTGTTAATTCCACTAGATTTGTTGAACCGATAACTATTGAAAATGTGGTCCACGTTCTTGCAAATAAAACAAGTTTGAGTCTCTCTCTTTGCTCCCTTATTTTCAAAATCTCTTCTTTTGAAATCTATTTTCTTCTCAAAAGTATTTCTTCCCTTTCCTTTCTTAAATTTAAAATATAGTTAAGATTTGATCATATGCATAGATCCCTTAGGGTTTGCCTTGAACTCCTCCTTTCTTCTTCAGATTTGATGGTCGTGATGAGTTCCTCCAATTTTGGTGTCTTTCTTCTAGCAGAGATGGACGACATAAAAGTCTCCCATGAATTAGGAAGAGAATTCATTAAATGAATCACTTGCATAGATTCATTGGGCTCCATGCCTGTATCTTCCAAATCTCTGACTAGCGCACGAAACACGTACACATGATCTACAAATTTGGTAGCTTCTACCATTTTTAAATCATTGTACCTTCTCATAACCATAGTTTGCTTCATGAGAGAGGGTTCAGCATACTCTCTTTCAAGTTTATCAAAAATCTCACTTGCAGTATAGATTGACTCGTACTCAAAAGCATACGAGTCAGTCATGGCACATAAAATAATGTACTTGCATCTCAAGTTCCTCCTCTTCCAATTGGCGAACTTATCTTTGATTATTTGAGATGAGTCGTCAGTTGGACGACGATGTCGGTCTTCAAATAGTACCTCATGCAAGCTTTCTTTCTATAGCAAAAATTTGATTTTTCTTTTCGATGAAGCAAAGTTGGTCTCATCAAACCTTTCAGTTTTCAGGATCTCAGATATGAAGGTACGAGCAGTCATTATATTCTCAAGCAAAAAATAAGAAAAATACTCCTAATGGCAATCAAGTAAAACTAGCTCTGATACCAATGAAAGAAAGACCTATGTGATCTTTTGTCGGGGAAATACAAAAAAAAAAAAATTTAATAATATTTACCCCTTGTAATTTTGACAACAAGATCACTCACAGATGGTCTTATTACAAACAACAGAAATTCTAAAAATAAATAACACATCAAATAAATCTCAGCTACTTGATGTCATTCATACAACCTAATACTGTGCTTGAGAATATAAAATAAAAGAACTAGCAAATAAAAGAAACGATGCTGGAGATTACCTCAACCAGACTTTTTGCATCCCACACCGAGTCACAACATCTAATGGCCCGAGATCTGTGGTCTAGTTTCAATTTCGAACTGGGATAGCTAATTTCGGCCAAACTAGGTAACCACCCCTTAAAATCTCTACTAAAACTTTAACCCCTAAAATTAACTTAGGTCTAGAGAAGAGAGAGAATACCACTTAAAATTTGGCGAGAGAAAGATGGAGGAAAGAGAAGAGAGGTTGTACGTGTAGAGATTGGAGAAGAGCACCCCTATTTACAGTATATATTTAAGTTTAGGGTTCCTTAAGGTTTTTCTATAGTTTGCCTCTTTCATGAGATTGAATCTAGACCATTGATCAAGGTGACTTGTACGGTGAGATATCTGAGCCATCCATTCCATAAATGGGCCATCAATATTATATAAGGTGTTTGAACCATTATCCCCCTTTTTTTAAACCATTTTCCCATCAATATATTTAAATAAAATAAATATCATGATTTCATAAAATTGCATGATCGATGTCACATATTCCGTAAGGATATGTCAAATATTATCAAGTAAATAAATACTGCCAAATATAAATAAGATAAGATCAATATTTACTATCTATTCAAATTGACCATATCTCTTTAAAACAAACTTGCAATAAAACAAATAAAGCCATGGTAAATATTTTCCTTCCAAGATTTGACCACATGTCACAAATCAAACTTACCTTAACTTAAAAACTTGAACATAAAGTAAACAAGAGAATCCAAAGAGGATGGGGCGTGCCACCTTTTTGTGGCACATGTAGGCCCCCACCCACATGCTACATGGTGGGCCCATGTGTACTTTGGGGCCCCATGGAATTTTATAAAAAGTATTAAAATTAAATTAAAATGAATTAATATATATTTAAATTTTTTATAACTTTGTAGAATCAATAACTGTATTTTTATAAAACCAAAAATTACAAATAAAATATTGAGAGATTCATAAAAAAAATTCAAGTAATTAAACTAAATTCATTTTAATAATAAAATGAACACAATTAAATTAATATGATGGGAAAATGACCCATATAGTTTTAAGAATTCAATCTGCAAATATGGGGTACTCCACCTCCAATTGTGGATTAAAGACCACACTAGCTTTATCGAACCGACTCAGTGTTTTTCATGAACCACAGTCCAAGCAGGGGCTCGTTAGCGGGTCACCAAAGTCAGGTCGATGAATCAAGGAGTCGCAACCCTAGTCTGTGGATTACAGGTCCTCCCCTAGAGACAAGTCGAGGTCACTACGACATTATGCAACCACAGCTCTATGGTGCATAGGGGTATCTCTCGCATATGTATACGCTTCACCCAAAGGTGGATATCTGGCTTTCCCGAACGATCTATCGATATGCATGCCATGTGATAGAACATGGATGAGGTTTTAGCCCCGTCTCAGTAGGCATACCATCACACACAAAAGTCATACAATCTCACACTAGCTTTATCGAACCGACTCAGTGTTTCTCATGACTCATAGTCAAAGCAAGAGCTCATTAGCGGGTCACCAAAGCCAAATCGATGAATCAAGGGGTCACAATCCCAATCTGTAAATATGGGGTACTCCACCTCCAACTGTGGACTACAGACCACACTAGCTTTTTCGAACTGACTCAGTGTTTCCCATGACTCACAGTCCAAGCAGGGGCTCATTAGTGGGTAACCAAAGTCAGGTTGATAAATCAAGGGGTCGCAATCCCAGTCTGTGGATTACAAGTCATCTCTTAGAGATGAGTCGAGGTCACCACAACCTGATGCAACCACAGCTCTATAGTGGATAGGGGTATCTCTCGCACATGCATACGCTTCACCCAAAGGTGGATATCTGGCTTTCCCGAACGATCTATCGATATGCATGCCATGGAACATATATGAAGTTTTAACCCCCATCTCAGTAGGCCTACCATCACACACAAGGGTCACACAACCCCTCGGCTCTCTCATCTAGGCATAAGCGCCGGCCTCATTAAGGGCTAACCCAAAACCCTCCTCGGTTAATTCTTTATGCCCAAGTACCTTTGGTTTTCCAACCGTCTGACCTAGATCAATAAGTACAGCCCGATATAAGCAAACATCATTTGCTTAGTATGGTCCTCGAGGGACCACACTCCCACTGAGTTTATGTTTCACTATAATGAAAGTATTTCAATGCACATTGATAAGGCCTTTAAAGGCCACATAAACCCAACAGTTGAAAATTGCAAGAATAGCCAAATGTGCAGTTCATTATTCTATGATGCAGAGCCTTTCTATATCTGGTAAATTTGGAGATGCCAAAAAGTTGGTAAATGAGTTTAAAGGGGAGAATTCAAGCCTTAAAGAGTTGTTGAGAGTGGAAGAGAAATTAAAAATGTCCCTTTATCTCCTATTTCCTTGATCTTTTTGCAAATTTTTTAGAGAGAAAGAGACAGTGATGTTGCAGTAGATGGAGTTTTGAGAGAGAGAGACGGAGATGTGAGAGAGATGGAGTTTTAGAGATAGATGAGTTTGGATAGGGTGTCATTCTAGTATTTGTTTGGGTCAAACATTTATGATCAAAGGGGTCCAGGAGGTTGTAAGGTAAAAAAGATGGAGACTTTTTGCTTAAAAGTAATATGTTCAATTCTTAGGTCTCATGAGATATGGAAGTTAAAAATAGAGGATAAGAGGATATTTTCCCATAAATAATTATACTTTTATTTCTCATTGAGGAAGGGTGGCTATAAAGAGTATCAACATATAATACAAAGATCAGAGCCAAAACTCATTGAGTTCAACCCTGAGTTGCCCATCCATCCCCTCACCCTCAGCAGCAGCGACTGCCATCTCCTTTCTCAGCTTCTGTTATCTTTTCTCTAAGGCTCCTATTTCTGCTTGGCCTAGATGAACCTGGGCCCCAAGCTCGACAGACCGTTGTAGTTCACCTGAGAAATCTCTTGCTATTTGTTCTGCCTTTTCTAGACTGCTTCTGACCACAGCCAACTCTTGATCTAGTTGAGGAACGTATTGTTTTACCCGAGCGATTGGGGCCTCTCTAGCTGGGAGGCCATCTCGCACAAGTTTTTGACTGCCACCTAACCATCACAAGCCTAAATAAGCTCCTGTTGATGCTTCCTTAGCTCTGCATGGGCCCTCTCTACCTCCTACTCGTTAGCACAAAATGATAAGTGATCCTCATTCCGAAAGTCGAAGTGCTATAGAAGACGAACAACTATGCTTATCCACAAGAGTGAGGAAGCAGTCCGGCCTATTACTTTGCTACTACGCCCATAATAGGTATGCTGCTCATCTTTTGAACCACAATGATTTCACCTATCGAACTTGAGGTTCAATCCCCAAACCTTGTTGCTTTAACTCAATAAAGCTCCAACCAGGCATTTTCCTTAATCCGCTATCTTTCATAAAATTTCTCACCTTTTCTGCATCTTCCCACCTCCCAACTGAAGCATAAAGATTGCTCAATAATACATAATTGCCAGTATTATTAGGCTCTATTTTCAAAAGACTCTCTATGGCAACCTCCGCTAACTCAACATTCTGATGTATCACACAAGCCCCAAGCAATGCACCCCAAACAGCATGATTCGGCTCTAATGGCATTTCCCTGATGATATCATGGGCCTCTTTGATTCGGCCGTTACGACCCAGAAGATCTACAATACACGCATAGTGATCAACATTAGCTTTTATATGATGACTCGCAACCATGGACCTGAAAAATTGCAAACCTTGATCTACCAACCCAGCATGGCTGCAGGCATAGAGTATAGAGGTGAAGGTGATCTCATTTGGCTTCAAACCACAATTCAACATTTGTTCATATAGAAAAATCACTTCTCCCCCATGCCCATGCATTCCATAGCCAGCAATAATTGCACTATAACACACCACATCTTTCCCCTCTATCCCATCAAAGATTTTCCTTGTGAATTCAAGACAGCCACTTTTTGAATAAATATCAATCAAACCAGTAGCAATTTCAACAGCTAAATCAAAACCAGCTTTAATTAGGAAACCATGTATGTTCATCCCATGCCTAATATCCACTAAATTTGCATAAGCTGGAATAAGACCAACAATAGTTGCATTATCAGGGCATACACTTTCCTGAAGCATTTGCTTGAAAAGCTTCACAGCTTCTTCTGCAGTCCCATTCTGAGCAAAACCCGATATAATAGCATTCCATGGGACCGTCCTCTGCCTTGAAGTCTTCATAAATAATCTATACCCCAAATCCAATTTACCACATTTCGCGTACATATCGATCAAAGCAGTCTCGACCACAACATCGAATTCAATGTTATTCCTAATTGCATAGCCATGCACAAACTTTCCATATCTCAAAAAGGATGAAGAAGCACACCCAGAAAGTAGAATAGAAATACTAAGGGAATTAGGTCTAACCTTTGTTGGCTGCATTTGAGAGAAGAGACTCAACGCCTCAAATACCAGACCCATCAGAACATACCCACCTATCATGGATGTCCATGAAATCACATTTCTTTGGGGCGCCTCATTGAAAAGTCTCCTTGCGTCTTCCAAACAACCACACTTTGCATACATATCAATCAAAGAGTTTCTAACCAGTAAATTGTCCCCGAATCCTCTCTCATCAATATATGCATGAATCGCTCTACCTCTCTCTACATCTCGCAAATTAGCACACACTGGAAGCACGCTGACCATCGTGGCCTCATCTGCAAGTACACCTGAAACCTTCATCTGGTCAAAAATCTCCAAAGCCTTATGATGACGCCCATTCTGAGAAAAACCCGCAATCATGGTGTTCCAAGCAACCACCGTTCTTTCAGGAATTCTATTAAACAAATCTTTGGCATCTTCAAAGCGCCCGCATTTCAAATACATGTTCAAGAGAGAATTAGCTACAAAAGAATCAAACTCATATCCGTTGTTTATTGCATCAATATGAACATCTCTCCCTGCTTGCAACGAATTTAGGCACGCGCAAGCCTTGATCACGGATGGGTATGTCAAATTGTCAGGTTTAAGGCCTTGAGAAAGTAACCTTTTATAAAGGAATAGAGCCTTTTCTGAGAGCCCATTGTTAGCAAAGCCTCTTATCATCATGTTATAGGCGTAGAGATTCTTGGGCTCCAATTTTTCAAATATTTCTTGGGCATAAGCAATGTTATTACAGAGAGAGTACATTGCCACAAGAGCAGTATTTGAGATATGGAAAGTCAGACCAAAAACAAGGAGTTTAGCATGTACTTGAAGGCCTTTTGAGAGTGACCTGGTTTTAGCAAAAGAGTTTAAGAGAGAGACGGCTTTACGGAGAGAGAAATGTGAGGTAGTCATGGCTCCTGGTCCACCGAAATCCTCCATGGACAAATAATGGAGCATTAACACTATACAAAGATTGCTTCCACGCTGGCATTTGCATGCCACTGGATTGAGAGATGGACCATTCACCCTACCTCGATTTCTGCTGGCAGGATGATGCACTCGCCTTTAGTTCACGTGGACCGTGTATCTGCCAAAGTTCAATTTTTTAAAACAATCAAATTAGGTCCTACCTTCAAATAGCGTCGAAAAATGTGGTTTCAATACTATAAATTTTTGTGATAGCCTTAAAATAATTTTTATCTTTATTTATAAAATTTAAAGTTTTAAAGATAGTATAGATTGATAGATCTATGAAAACTTGAAAATTTTGAATATTGATGGTCGAAAAATGCGTTACAAAATACACTATTTTCAAAACTTGAAATCCTTTTTTTTTCATGTCCATGCATCTTCATGTCGAGATGATCAATTTGAGGATATTTGGGCATCAAAACAACCTCTTCCAATAAAATTTTTGAGGAAGGCTCTAATTTGATTGTTTGGAGCCTCAGCTCTATATAACTTTTTCCCATTTTTAAACTAATAGGGCAAAATTGTATAAAACCTCCAAAAATAGACTTTGTAGGCACTATACCCCACCCTGATTTTTCTTAGCATATTTTTCTCAAAAATCAAGTTTTACAACAAATACCGCCCAATACAAAAAGTTAATTTTTTTTTACGAAAATTTCCTTCCCGTACATAATAAATCATTTTCGGATCCCAATAAAAGGAAATGTCGGACCACGATTGTATATGGCCGGACCCATCCATTCTGCTGGACCGAAACTGTACACTACTAGGCCACCTATTCCAGACACAATTTTCAATTTTGTCAGACCGTAGCTCACAAATGCCGGACTGCTCATTAATCCAGAAACAAATGCCGAACCGCCTCTTCCAAACTCCGAACCACCATGATGAATTGTCGGACCGCCATGATGAAGTGTTGGACCGCCATGGTGAAATGCCAGACCGCCATGGTGAAGTGCCGAACTATTTCAAAGCAGTGACTTAAGCGCCAGACCGCCTCTTCCAAACGCCTAACCGCCATGGTGAAGTGTTGGACCGCCATGGTCAATATGTGAGGTAAGGGAGATGGATTTTAGTCTTCGTTTTTTTTTTTTTTTTTTTTTTTGAGTGGGGGGATATTATCTAGGAAACATGATTTTTGGGAAAAAGTTGCTAAAAAAAGTTAGGTCGGGGATAAATTGCATAGAAAGTCCATTTTTCAAGGTTTTATGCAACTTTCCCTAGTTTTAAACTATTTCCTATAATTTAAAGGAAAAAGTTTATATAAGCTTGCAGCCTTAAAATATAGAATTAAAGGTGCACCTCAAAAATACATCATAAAAGGTTGTTTGGATGTTGAAAAACTCTCTAATTGATCATCAACATCGAGATACATGAATAAGAAAGAAAAAAAAAAAATCGAGTCAACAAAATAGTATATCTTGCAATACATTATCTAGACCGTCCATTTTCAAGATTTTCATTGTTTATAAATCTACTTGATTTGAACTATTTTTAGAGTTTAAAATTTTATAATTAGAGATAAAAATAGATTTTCAAACCATCCTAAAAATTGGTTATATCAAAATTATATTTATGATAAAATCTAGAGGTGCGCCTTAATTGGTTTGTTTAAGGTCGCAAGCTTATGCAAACCACAAGGAAAATTGTTCCATCCATTGTGGGACGCATTTCTACATTATTAATGTGTCCCCAAGGTATAAAGCATGCATGTGTAAAATGGATGCAAATGAGTGGTTTATTTAAAAACAATTTAAACTAAAGGTCAAAATGCGTTCTTCGTAAAATTATTACCTTTAATTTTTAAAACTTATTTATTTCTAATATTCATGATCTCGACGTTAGATATCAATATCCTTAAAATTAGGTCCAAAAATTCATCTCAAAAACAGATATTTAAAAGGGGACTCATTTGATCATTTCTACATGTACTCATATAAATCATGTCCAAAAACAATTCTCGATCACTAAAACTCATCCAATAATTATTTTGATCGACCAAATAAAACAGGCGAATCTGTTAAGAGGTATGAAAAATGAATAATACACATCTGTAAATGGGTGAGAACTGGGGGAGAAATAAAAAAAAAGGCACATCTTAAAAAAACAGTGCAAAAAAAAAAACAGACTTTTCAACTTATAGTTTTGATATACAAATATTTTACATGGATTGAAAAGAGCACTGAAAACTTGACAAAACCCCTCAAATTTAAGTGAAAATAGTTGAAAAACAATAAATAAATAAAAAAATCTGACAGGAATCATAATCCCCAATAAGCAAAGAGAACAAAAGAAGTAAATTCATGAATTCCAGTTCAAATCAGCAAGTCCATGTTAGACTCACCCAACCAATGTTAAGACTCACCCAACCACGGAGTTGTGTGTACAACTAGGGGTACATAAAAGAAATTTTAAAAAACAAAACACAAAAAAAATGTAGAAATTTAATTCATAGTAATTTTATATGATTTAAATATATTTGGAAAAGATTGGTAAGCATTTTTTACTTTATATTATCTATTATCTCTACCCTTTAATGCTTTACTCTTTAAAGTTGCTTTCGGTTTTATTTTACTGTTAGTATGTTTTTCTATTGTTCACATTTTCCCTTTTTTAATTTGGCCCTGCTCAGGATCCCTAGGGCAAAGCCAGGCGTGTTATTCTCAAATAAATCCTTTTTGAATGGAAACCTAGAAAGAAAAAATCCAAATTATTAAATTGGAAACCACAAAAAGAACAAACGGATACAAGTTTGTCCCCTAATCTCTTTTCAAACTAGATTCATAAAAAAAACTATCAAGCTACTATCAGATCAACACCATATATATTGGAAACTAAAATGCCTCATTTTAAAAGCAACTATGTTACTGCAACACCTTCCATAAAAGAAGCAATAAAGATAGGAGAAAAAAAAAAGAGGCCTCTTTTGCACAACAGATGATTAACCGGAATTGAGACCACAATCAATGGCTTTTACTGCCCTAACATGGGCACAAGAGTGTCATCCAAAAGTTACAAATACGCAACTTTTTCATCAATTATACAACATACACCTAAAACTAGCTTCCACATAATTACTATCATCTCGAAAAAAGAGATCACCCACAGTTGCCATTCAGCTGACACTCAGTCGAGAATCTAGAGGGCGCATGTGGGTCTGACGTCGGGGAACACCAATTTCACAAGCATTTACTTTGGAAGCAAACCGAAGAGAACATAGGGATTCATTCATCGAAGATGGCTCAGGTGATATGTTGACAAACATCAGCGTCTTTGAATCTCCACCCAAGCAAGACTTTATATGGCCACAATATTGAAGTCAAGGAATGTGAAAATACATAACGTAATAAATGAAGTGGATCAAATCAAAGTCACTGATAAGAAAAACAATTAAGAATAAAACGGGAAGCACGGGTAACATGAAAATAGCTAATATTTAGCGACACCAGATTCAGAAAATCATAATTGCTTTGAGATGGGTTCATCATCGCCAATTAGTCAAGTTCACCAGATGTCTCCAGAAGTTCACAATTCTGAAGTAGAAGGTCATTATATAAAATAGCAGTATAAGGTAATTTTCATCACCCGGAAATGCCCTTTTCCCAAATATAAATGTAGGGCCAAAGCCCATAGGATGCCTCAGAATAGATTGTTTATCTAAAGTTTAGATCATGGGTTGAACCCAGCTTAACTACTAAAGGAAAATAGCAATAACATTTCAAACAAGACTAGGAAAGATGTAACAGATTAGAATAGCAACAAAAGTATCCCACCTGGAGAAGGTAGGTGAGCTTGGAATTCCGGAAAGGAACATGGGACTCTCTGTTCGAAATCGCCACAATCACATCTCCAAGGCATGACAAACTCTTATTTATTGCCTAAAGGCCATAAGGAAGTCATGTAAAACTTAAAGATAAATACAAAGGAAAACTTTGAAAGATAAATAGAACAATATGAAAGTAAATTCCGTAGGAGAAAGGCAAATAAAAACCTGAGTTTCTTTGAGACGGTCCCCTGTTGAGCCACTCTTTGACAACCGCTCACTACCAGCTAAGTCAATCAAGTTTAACACTCCCTGTACTTGCTGTTCTGTGCTCTACATGTGGGGAAAAGAAAGAAGGGAAAAATTGATCCATCCATGTTATTAAACTAAAATGCTTTTTATGCTAATTAAATTGCCTAGTCCTTTTGCCTAAGATCAAGTGTGTAACTAAAAGCCTTCAATACTTTCAAAAAAGCACTGAACTATATGAGCTTACCTCATTGACCCCAGATATTCGTAGAGTGAACACAAAATGACTCCTTGATGATTGCTCATTCATTTGTGTCCGACCTACAGACCTGCAACACAAACAAAACCAGTATGACTCAATCTAATCAAAAGCTACAAAATCCTGCTCAATGCAATAAAGTTGATAGAGACACCACTAAACCACCCAAAAAAAAAAGCATTCTCAAATATTAGTTTTAAAAATAATCAGCATCTAGAAATCATACATAAAGAATTATGGGGTATACTGCCAGAGGCACAACTAATGGGAAAATTCAGGAAGAAAAAAAAGAAAAGAAAACAGAAATCAAACAGATATGTAAAGAAGCAGAATTCAAACCGATACGTAAAGAAGTTATTAGACTGACAAAACTATTAAAAATTAGGATATCAAAATATAGAGAAACTAAAAAAACAGTGAGGTCACAGTGCATCAACCCTTCCAAAATCCAACTTGGAGATGAATTGAGAATGAAAATCCAAGAATGAATCTGAAAGGATAAAATAACAGTAAAAAGAAGTTTGAGTAAACATGGTAAACCTTGAACCTTTTGATTTGGACATTTCATTTCAGGTCTACAAAGATCATCGGAACGGCAATAATTTTGGAGCTCCAAATTCATGAATCTCAGGAATTAACAGATATGCAAATATTAGAGCAATGTTTAAGTTCTAAATCATGCTAAAACCAGGGAAGACACATGAGTGTGATGGAAACCAAATATTTTCCATTAAAAATATTTCAATGTATATGACTTCTATATAATTGACCAGTCAATAATTTTTATTCATCAGGAGCGCATAAATACAAACGAGTGTATACCATACAAGTACTATGTAAATTAGTACATGGTACATATAATGACCATCCAGTGCTCATTATTAAAGCAGCAAAGCTGCCCAACTTCCATGAACAGCTGAAGCATGTCTTATTTTTGTACCATGTCTATCAATGTACATTTCCACATTAAATTTTCAATACTTATTATAATTGTTTGCAATCAAAATGAAGGAAAACGTTTAATAAGTGTCGACCTTATACAACAGAAGTAATGTGCACCTCAAAAATCCTATAGAAGAGTGTTCTGACATTGGAAAACCCTCCACCTTGAAATAGCAGATATGAACTAAAAAACGAATTCCAAGTCCTAAAAATAGTGCATCTTGCAACAAGTTATCAAGAATGTCTGTTTTCAGATTTTCAGTGTCCATAGATCTGCTTGAACCATGCCATTTTTTAAATTTTAAATTTCATAACTAGGGATGAAAATAGATTTTCAAGTTATCATAATGTTTCCGACACTGGAACTAAATCTAAACAAAATTCAGAGGTGCAAGTTACTTCCACAGCATAAGGAGGGCACCTTATATAAACCTCACCCCAAAATAAATGCAACAGTAGAAACAAGGAGTTGCTTTCCCCTCAAATGCTCACAAGTATAGTATTTCTTAGCATCTAAATGACGCACTAGTAAATTAGACAACCAAAGTTTCAGGAATAAAAGATAAAACATTATAACTGTTCATAACATGGAACAATTAATGTAAGAAACTGTTTATAAAGCATTTTTCAAAAATTCTAAAACATAGATGGCCATTCTGCTTATACAGGAATTTACACCAAAAGAACTGTAAATAATACATCACAAATGCAGCTCCTTTGCCTATAACAAAGCATTCTGCATAGACAGTTTCCATGCACAATAGAACAAGAAAATCAAAATTTGAGACTGCAATGGAAACCCAGTGATCGACTGTGAAAAGATTTTGGGACAAGGGATTTACTGCAACCAATGTCACAAATGGGCTTGCAATTAAAAAAAATCATGCAGAGAACAAATGGATAATGAATTTACCTGCTTTGCGCAGCACGGTGTAGAAGGGAGGAAACCTCTCTCAAACTTACAACATCTACAACTGTGAGATCAGACACAACCGTGTTGCCATTATCATGTTTAATAATATATTTCGTTGACACACCATTCTCAGTTCGAGACACTTCACGATTAGCTGCTAACAAATCTCGAATCGTTTCATTGTAGATCTCCAACATTGATGCCTATGAGTCACCACAAATTTAAATTTTAAATAAGACTCAACAAAGAATTAACAATAGCTAACTTGATTACTAAAAATAAGAAAGGAAAAAGAGGAGCTGAGGAACCAAGCTCAAATGCTCAACCTGCATTCTAAAAGTCCACCCTTGCGAAGAAAGTGCTTGGCTAGTTTGAAATATTTGTTCTAAAGAGCGAGGTATAAGGCCTTTTTGTTCTGGGGTATCTGGCCTTCCCATCATGGTATACGTTTTTCCAGAGCCAGTTTGTCCATACGCAAAGATGCAAACCTGAATAAAACACAGTTAAAAAAGAACAGTCTCGAACACTTCTCAAAGAAAAGCTAGTCAAAATTGAATGCCATTGTCATCATCTAGAAAGAATAACGTTAACATGCATTAATGCGACGAGAAAATAGATCCTTTGTGTTGATGACCCATCAAAATAGGGAGCATTGAAGATAGAACTTCAAAAACCACACGTCTTCTTTGAATCAAGAATATAGCATGTTGGAATGTGAAGTCACTAGGTATCTGCATATTAAGGTAAAGTAACATATAATTTATCAAATAAAATTAAGGTAAAATGACTGGCCCCACTCTCCATGACTATCGGGCCAAAATTAGCCCTTTGACCTGCAGCCAGACACCCCAATGCACACCTTTTAACTTTGCTGCCAAAGAACCAAGGGATCAACATATTTTTGATAATTTTAGCCTTTTTTGTTATTTTATTTCAGAAAGATCATTCTATATCTCATTCCCCAAATTCCCCCTTCTCTTTGAAAACTTTAGGCTCTCAATCTCTCGTCTCACTTTCTCTCACCATCACCCCTCACTCTCTGCTCACAAATCTGCCCCCATTCTCCACCCCTCTTTCTCTCTCTCTTACTTCTCACAGATCCACCCCATCTCCTGCATCTCAAAGATCCGCCCGCAATTCAAAGAAAATTATCAAAGAGAATTTTCAGTTGCTTCCTGTGACTTCCAGCTTCACAAGCCCTTTCAGCTTCATCCAAGCTCATCTGTAAGACTTCAAATGGTCCTAAGGAAGCACTGATCTCCTTCCTTATCATGGTCAAATAAAGCTTAATTGCTCAAGAAACCCCAATTTGATACGAGCATCCATCAGAGCAGTATAAAAGGCAGTGTTTTCTTTATCAGGTACAGAATTAAAAATCTTCGCACATGCAGAAGGCCTATCGATTAACACAAATCTAAGAATCAAAACTGATACAAGAGAAGTTCTAAAATGACACCCATTATGGCGATTCCATAGTTTTGGGAACTCCGGGGGTAAGGACATGGCCCCACCTTAGGAACTAGATCCCACGATTCCTCTAAGAGATCTTCGAGGGAGTTCGGTTTAGAGAAATAGGGCTCTCGCTTCTTACAAAATGGGATCTTGGTCTACATGCTTGTAGGATCCCTCCAAGGAGAGGAGCTATATAAGTTTATTTCTTTGGAATATATTAAACTACAGGCATGTCACATTGTTGTTTACTAGAACTATGATATTAAAACACTACATTTTAATATCATAGTAAGCCAATTTATGATATTATTAAACTCTAGTTTTGCAGTAAATGAGAGTACTACAACTATGGCATTGATAATAAGCTAAGGTATACGATAACGGATCGAGCGGGCATTGGCTCGATCTTAATTTTATCATATACTATTAATTGATCTCATCTTATATATGGTCAAGCTTAGATTCATCCAAGTCAGAACCTCAAACCCAGAGTGACATGGGATTTTGCACCCAAGTATCCTAGGATCTAGCTCCATAACTTGTTGAGTGTATAGACGTCAATCATATCCCTAGGAAGCTTCCACTCTATGGCAGTCCGGCATTCGCCAAACCAATCCCGCTCCTAAACCCTGCTCCCTGCCTCCAACAAGTATGGGCCATTCTTCAACAATCTCCATGACCATCTTATATGAACCATGTCTCATAAATAACATGATTAAATTAATATATAAAACCTTCATGCTTCGATTGATGCCATTGCTTAATAGATAATGTTGGAGCCCGAATCATAGTGATATGAGTTTGCAGTTTCAGGTGTTGATTTGGCAATTAGTTGTTAATTACCAGAAATTCAGAAATGCATGAAATATACTACAAACGATCAGTGTTGGATTTTTGAGTGATTTATGGTTATTGTTGGTTGGAATTTTGTGAAATATCACTTGAAAATCTCAAAGGGTGATTTGAACCAAAAATTAAATGAAAATGCGGTTTTTTTCTTTCTAGAGAAAGGCAGACTGCAGATAGCGTTTTTGAAGGAGAACAAATAATTGAGAAATGCAATCCTCTTTGCTAGAATAGAAATTATGATTTTTGGTGTTTTTCGGATTATGGTTCCATAAAAAAATAAGGGTTAATGTTGTTTAACAGTATGTGTTTTTGGGTATTTTGGAAAAGATGGTTCATGAATCAGGATCGACAGTAGCTGTAACTCTTTGGAAACTTACATAGCCCATAAATCTCCAATTGTACAGTGCGATAGAAGCGGAGGTAGGGCATAACCAGCTCTAAAAAAATGTAAATCCACCCTTGAATTGTGCAGGAGGGCGTCTTTGGAACCAAGGTAAAAAAAAATCAGGTCGAGGTGTCCAGCTAAAGGTCAAAGGGGATAATTCGGCCTAATAGATACGGAGGGACTGCTTTGTCATTTTCCCCCAAAAAAAGTGCAAGTGTATGTACAATAGAACAATACCAAGCTTGTGATGCTGTCATAAACTCTAGAATATGTACACAAGAAAAAAGAAAGAAAAAACATACATCCACTCCATCTATCTCTTCCACCCCAAACAAGACAAAGTAATTTGATCCCTTACTACATATGGTTCTTTCTCAGTATCCTCATTTTACCGTAAGCTCCAATCCACTGTCCCAAACTCTACCTCTACCCCACTCCACAGCTGCCAGAGCTTGGTTTCCCTTCATCACCCCCAAAATCCAAGTGTTAAGTTGGATAGCCCTTTCCCAAAGGGTCTTAATGGTAGACCAATTGCAAAGACGGGGCCTGACCATCCCCAATCATTTTTTCATGTGTATGGCAGATGAGGAAACAAATCCACACCTCTTCATCCATTGCAGCCTAGTCAAACTTTGGAAGGACCTTCTTTTACTTTTCAATTGGTCTTGGACCACCCCTAGGTCGGTATCTCACTTGTTTGAATATGTGAAGTTCCTTCCTTGGGCTAGATCATGCATTTTACTGTGGAAGGCCTCAATAGCAGCCACCATATGGCCATTTGGATTGAACTCAATAACCGCATTTTTCAAGGTTGCTTTTCCTCGATACACATCCTGAGAGACAACATCAAATCCATGGTCATCTTCTGGGCCTCGAACCACAAGTAATTTAAGCACTTCTCAACCTCGGACTTCCACCTCACCTGACAATCACTCCTCTCTCTTAGCCTCTCAGCCTCTCAGGCCTAATTTCATTCCTCAATCTTCTCTTTGGAGACCTCTGGAATGGGGCAAAACTAAGCTCAACTCTGATGGCTGCTTACTTGGCAATGCATGACCAATTGGTATTGAAGGCATCTTCAGAAACTACCAAGGCCTCTACCCATCTCTTCTTTCGCTAGACCTGTTGGCAAAGCTTATTCCACCACGACAGAAGCTCTTTCCCTTTTGGAAGGTCACAAAATCTTCAACCCCAATTGGAGCACTGAACTTGTTGTGGAAGGAGACACTAGTAATGTCATCCTCTAGGCATTGGGGAGGCCACACCCCCATGAAGATTCGTTCAAGTATTTGACGGGATTTTTTAAATTTTCAGGTTTATTCTCGTTTCATGAACTCATATCTGCCGGGAGGCGAACTACGCAGCAAATGCTCTCGCTAGAGAAAATGCAACAATGGTAGGAGTTTAGACCAATGTTGTCAGATTGGCTTCGGAGTCTTCTTCGGTTTGGTGAGAAAAATGAAGAAACTTGATGCTTCGGCCAATTCACGGGAAGACTATGGACTTTTTTTTTAATTTAATAGAAATAAATTTGCTATTTATATATAAAAATATAAAAATAAAATAAAAAAACTAAAAATACAATTTCTAAAAATAAAAAATAAGTAAAAAATTACTTTTATAATCGGCCTAAAGTTGGCCGAAGCAGCCCGAAGCAGACCGAAGCAGCAGCACCAAGCTTCGTGTCGCTTCACTCTAGGCCTAAAATCTAAAGGCTTCAGCCTCTTTGGCCGAAGCCAAGCGAATCTAACAATACTGGTTTAAAAACCTTCGGTTTTTGGGGTGTTTTTTGGGGATTCTTAGCCTTATCATATATCAGTTGGTGGATGTACACTTTTTTACCCTCTGTGGTTTTTTTATAGAACTCCCGAGTTGTGGGTAGCCCATTTATTGTTTATTTGTACATCTTTACTTTAGTTCCTTAATACAATAGTAAACATGTTCAAAAAATTAACCACCAGATGAAGCTGAAAAGCAATTCTTCAAGCATAACAGTTTCAAGATCTTAATGAAAACCACATGATGGAAATTTGAACAGCCTCCATAATAAAAAAACAAAGTGAAAGGCTAAAAGAAGAGGACAAGAAGGCTAAAAGTAGGGGATAAGAAAGCTTATCATAAAAAGACAAAGAAAAAAAAACAGAAAAATAAAAGCTTGTACTGACACAAGTATCAAGTATCAAATTAGATAAACATCTACAGAAGCAAGGATCTGAACACAGTCATCAATCTAACAACAATTAAAAAGAAAATAAAAGAAAAAGGGGAAGGATCTGAACATGGTTCAACAAAGAGAAATCACTTTTGTACTAGTAGGTCAAATGCACCAAAGCACACCCAAAAGGAATAGGCAGATTAGATTACGTATTTGTTTGTTAATTTTAGTAATTCATGCAACAAGGATGATGATCACGAAAAATGGCGAGCAATTTGAAGCTCATTTCAGCTACCAAAACCATGAGGCAAAGCAGGGACCAACCTTATATCCATCAAGAGCACTCTGAACAAGTTGAGAGATTTCGACGAAGACATCTTCTTGGGTAGCATCATGGTTGAAAACCTTGTCAAAACTAAATGAATGTTTCTGCCCTGGATGGATCAAAACAGACTCATAATGACTCACTAGCAGGCCAACAGGAATTCCAATAAATAATTCAAACAATAAATTCGGTACCAGTATAATAAATACTTACATGCAAGGAAAAAGATAATAAACAATCTGAAGAATAATGCATACATATGCCTCAATAGTTTGTGGGTGAAAAGAAAAAGTGCAAAGAGCCCTCTAAAATCTGACTGCCAGTACCTGAATTTTGTATCAACTCAATACCCCGCCCCTGCAATTCAGTTGACGAAGGATATGCTATGACAGGAGTGCCTGCGCAGTCATCATCAGGCAGCATAGGGCGCACCCGGCAGAAGACCCGTATGTTACCTTTCAATTCCTGCAGCATATAAACTTATGCATTACTAGAAAAGCATGAAAATATAGCATGAAATTTCAAAGAGAGAAAAGAAGTATTACCAGAATCGTATTATGCAATCTTCTTCGCAGTAACTCCCCCTCAAAAATTTGAATTTCTGCTTCAGATAAACGGTTCTGTAACTCCTCCAGCATTTTCTTATTTTCTGCAAACTCCGAATTCTTTTGAGAGGTTATGACGTCTGCCATCTGTATGAAGCAAAAGAGAAACACCCATATAAGCCTATCATAAATGTGTTACCAACATCACATCCCACCTAAAATAATATACCCCAACAGTAAACATTTCTTTTTGAGAGAAAGTTAACTTACCCCAATAGTAAACATTATGTCTTAATGTTTACTGTTGGGCTATTGATGATGTTTTAATGTTTACCCCAACGGTAAACATTAAGACATATCATCAATACTTTGGTGTAGGCAAAGTGAGCAAAGAATTGCAACAAGAAATCACCTTAATGCTACTAAAAATCACTGAGAATCTTACACAGCCTAACAACACAAACCACTAAAAAGACTAGTTTAACTGCAGAACCAAAAAAAGGTAGCCTAATCATAACTACTAGTGATGCTTAAAGCCAAATCATTAGCCAGAAGCAGATAACACACCTGTAATTTCTCCTGAGCAGCTGCAAGCTGCTGCTGCAAAAATTTTATTTGTTCCTTCTGAGATGAATAACTCTCCTGCACATATTCAAGTGAAGCCATTTGCCAAACTTAATGAGTATACAATACATTAGAAGGGGATAGTTAGCGCTACCTCCAGTTGAGTTGTCTTTGATGCAAGAAAGGTCATCTCTGCAGTAGATCTTCCAGTACACTCTTTGTACCTGGCTACTTCAGCTGTCAATGCCTCCACTTGGGACAACTGATTATCTTTGTCTTCTTTTAATTGTCGCATTTCCCCCCTGAGCCGTCCTGCTTCCTCCATCAGTAACTTCTTCTGGATCAAAGCTTCTTGTTCAGAGGCCTGAATTCATCAGATGTCAATAAAATCAAGTTTAAGTCAAGCATTAGTTCAAGCAGAACAAAAACATGGAACTATGGCGTTCTAAATAATATTCTTTAGGAGTATCATAAGTGCAGTATTTTCCTCTTTTTTATCTCTATTTAATGAAAAAATTTGACCCCTAGTACATAATCTATTTAAAGGACTACTAGATTCAGTGTGTCGCCCAATGCACATCATGTTTAGTTAAAAAAGCAGCATCATTTCAAACGTCATGTGTGTGTGTATATATATATATATATATAT